GTCTCCTACATGGGTGCAGGAGCCCAAGGACTTGGACCATCTTCTACAGCTTTCCCAGGCCATAGCAGAGAGCTGGATTGGAAGTGGAGCAGCTGGGACTCGAACTCTTACCCATATGGGATGCCAACACTGCAGCGACAGCTTTACCTACTACGCCACAGCGCCGGGCCCCGCACCTAGGATTTTAAGTTTAACAGCAGGAAGTCAACAAATTACTTCACAAATAACTAAACTGAGACACTAAAAAACTCTGGTTTAGTATACAGAATTACTTTTCTATACCACATTAACAAGGATTTTCGTTTACCAGGTAATTCCATCATCTGAATAAGGCATGTACTAATTTTTTCAAAAGCTAGTAAAGTCATTTCTCAATACTTAACTGTCTCCCCCATCTCTAAGGATGTCACTGACATTCATTACCTCTGCCACCTGCCTACACTACCTCTCCCCTAAAGCATGGTGGACAACAGAACACACCTTGTGAGTGGCCAAGGTTAAGATCTGACCTTGCCTCCATTACAGATGACATTAAAAAGAAAAACCTTTATAATCAATGCATCGCTTAAGCAACTGAAAAAGAAATGCCAATTTAAGCAAGGACTCAATTTTGCACAAAATTTCCATATTAAGTAATGGCCATTCAATATTAAGTAGCAATTTTTCAGAGAAACAGTGGGAACCTCTAACTTGTTTAACCAGTTAAGAACTCGTGGGAATTCAACCCAAAATGATGATTTAATGAACTAGGGTATACCCAGCTATTCTCATTCTGTACTGCACCTATCAATCTTTTCTAACTAGTTCTAAACACACAGGTCAAGATCCCTCCTAGTGGTGGTGGCACTGTGGAGAAGCAGACTGGACCACATGGGAGCACTAGTCCCATGCACAGCTGTTCTGCTTCTGACCCAGCGCCCTGCTAATAGGCAAGGGGAAAGCAGTGGAATATGGCCAAGCGCTTGGGCCCCTACCACCCCTGTGGGAGACTAGGATACAGTTCCTGCCATTGCAGCCACTTGGGGAGTGAACCTGCAGATGGAAGATATCTATCTCTCACTCACTCTCTCTTTCTTTCTTTCAAATAAATAAAATAAATCTTTAAAAAGAAAGACTGTTTAAAGCAAGCTTCCCATCCTCCCTACGCCACTACCATCTCTCAGACACATTCTGGACATACCGGACGGCAGACTCCTGATCCTCTTTCCCAGGAGGCAGCACAGCGACTTGGAAGAGCAGGGGCTTGGAGTGGAGCACCCTGGGTTCCATGCCGCCCCACCACTCCTTCAACAGGCATCCTAAGCAGGTCTGTCAATCTCCCCTCTGGCAGTAACAGCAATCATATAACCTAGCCAGGTTAGTGTGGTTAAATAATACTGAGTAACTAAAAGGAAAAGCAGTAATGAAAAACAGCTAGCACATCAAAGATGCTTAATAAACAGTTTTCATTATGCTACACCATTTTCAAGTCTTAGTAGAGTTGAAGTTTTAAGAAGATGATACCAAAAGGGTTGAAACTTGGGGCTGGCACTGTGGTGCAGCAGGTTAACGCCCTAGCCTGGGGCGCCGGCATCCCAAATGGGCACCAGTTCAGGACCGAGCTGCTCCAATTCTGATCCAGCTCTCTGCTGTGGCCTGGGAAAGCTGCAGAAGATGCCCCAAGTCCTTGGACCCCTGCACCCATGTAAGAGACACAGAAGAGGCTCCTGGCTTCAGATCGGCGCAGCTCCAGCCGTTGCAGTCAATTGCGGAGTGGACCATCAGGTGGAAGACCTCTCTCTCTCTGTCTCTACTCACTCTGTGTAACTCTGAATTTCGAATAAATAAATAAATCTTTAAAAAGGGGGGGGGGGCTGAAACTTGGAAAGACATTGTGGCACAGTGGTTAAGTCACCACTAGGGAACCCAGCATTCCATGTCAGAGTGCCTGGGATGGGATTGCGCCTCTGCTTCCCACGCAGGTTCCTGTTAATATGTACCTTGGAAGGTAGTAGGTTGCAACTCAAGTACTTGGGTCCCTGTCACCTACATAGGAGACTTGACCTGCCCCCTGCCCCTCTCTGTCACTTTGCCTTTCAAATACATAAAAATAAACTTTTTTCAAAAAGGTTTAAATTTATGCCAACTAATACTTTTAAAACTGTTGGGGCCAGCACTGTAGCGTAGTAGGTTAAGCCTCCGCCTGCATCCCATACAGGCTCGTTAAGAGTCCCGGCTGCTCCACTTCCAATCCAGCTCCCTGCCAATGCACCTGGGAAAGCAGTGGAAGACGGCCTGAGTCCTTGGGCCCCTGCATCCATGTAGGTGACCTAGAAGAAGCTCCAGGCTCCTGGCTTCAGATCAGCCCAGCTCCAGCTGTTGCAGCCATTTAGGGAGTGAACCAGCGGATGGAAGATCTTTCCATCTCTCCCTCTCTCTCTAACTCTCTCAAATAAATTAAGTAAATCTTAAGGAAAAAAAAAAGACTCTAGAAGCCACCTCTTTTAAAAAAAAAAAAAAAGAAAGAAAGAAAGAAAAATCATTAAGGCAGTAAGCAATGGAAAGGAAAAAAGTTCTTGGAATACACAAATAGCTATGATTTCAGGGAAAAGACCCTGCTCCTAAGAAACAAAAAAAAAAAAAAGAGACAATGGCTTCCTTGCCTTTGACAGACAAGGCCTGTCCCACCCAAACCCCTGACTCTGTGCACTACACACAATGACCATCACCATCTTAATCACTTTACACACACTGTAGCCACCTGCTGTGTATGTAAATGAGATCTAGGTTACAAAAACCTTGACTTGAAACTTACCTCCAAAAAAAAAAAAAATGTCAGGGAGGTCATGAAGTCAGCAACTTTACAATTAATTACTCAGTAGTTGGGAAAGGCGTTTGGCACAGATGCCACTTGGGATGCCCACATCCCATACCAGAGTATCTGAGTTACAGCCCTGCTCTGCTCCCGATTCCAGCTCCCTGCTAATGCACACCCTGGAAGGCAGCAGCTGGTGGCTCAAGTACTTAGGTCCCTGCCACACACACCCGAGTTTGGAGACCCGGATGGAGTCCAGCTGCTGCCAGCACTTGGGGAGTGAGCCAGCAGACAGACACACGCACGCTCCTGCACGTGCTCACACGTTCCCTCGCTCCCTAACAAATAAAAGAAATAACGATTTTGTAAGCGCTCACTGCCAATTCAAGTGAACTCTGAATACAAGGGATCTCGGCTAGCTCAGCCAATGAACTTTCGTCGGAGGGTCCTACGGCAAAGTTCTCAGTTCCCGAGGGGAGGACCGGGTCCTGCCTTGTTCTCCGATGCGTTCCCAGGGCCCGGCATCCAGGAGAGCTGCACACCCACACTCACAGCACCACTATTCACGAGAGCCAAGAGGTGGACGCATGCCGGAACACACTGAGGGACGAATGGATAAACAAAACGTGGCACGTACACACAATGGAATTCAGCCTTCAAAAGGCAGGAAATGCTGACACAGGCTACGGCATGGATGAAGCCTGAAGACGCTATGCCAAGCGAAATCGGCCTGCCTCCAAAGGATGAACACTGCCAATGATGTGAGAGGCACCTACAGTAGCCAATGCAGAGAAACAGAAAGTAAAGATGGTGGCTGACACGGCCTGGGGGAGAGGGTCTCTTGGGTGCAGGTGCAGAACTGCACACTTTTGTGGGATGAAACAACTGCCGGACGTACGGCGGGCGTGACTGCGACTGCGGGCAACACGTCTGCACGTAACGCCACCGATCGGCACACTTACAACCGTACATCCTGTGTTGTCCATATTCTACAGTTCAGAAACAAAACCAAAACATATTGGTGGAAATAAAAAAGGAGTGAGTACTACTTTCACCAATCGCTGAATGCTAATATAATTTGCAGACTTCTTATCTCCACACTTCATAGAAGAGGAAATTGGAACTCAAAGAGCTTAACTGCTCTGTCACTACACACAGTGTGTGTGTGTGTGTGTGTGTGTGTGTAGTAGACTATGTAAGGCATATGTACACTCACACACACAGTATACACGCATCACAGGGGTCTTCTACCCAGCTGGTTGTGAACCCCGCGAGAACACCATGCCTCTTACTACACCCAGGGCCCAACAACGCTTTGAGAATCCACTGGCCTGAACACCTGCATCACAAAAGCTCAAACTCCAACCTTTTCTCTACCACCCACTAACAGGGCAGGGACAAAATGGGTGGCCCTGAGAACCGTTCTGTCCCCGGAAGTGTTCAAACAGGCTGAGCAATGGTGGGGCTTGCCGTATGCCAGGAGCCAGGGCAGATCCAATTCACACAATTTTATCTCACAGAGGGCTCAGTCTAGAGCAGCAGATAAGGCTCAGAAAACAATCCCAATTACAAAAAAGCCAAATGCTGAACAGAGGTGCGAGCCAACCGTGAAGGCAGCAAGGCGAGCGTCAGTGGATGTGCAAGGTCTGGAAGGATAGACTGTCCCTGGTCCTACAAGGTGCAAGGCAACGGCACACAGCAGCCTGTGGAGGGGTAGGGATCCCTGCCTTTGAGTCATCCGGGTCCCCAGTCATAACCTGGTCCAGCTCTGCGCGCTCTTATAGAACAGAACCTCTGAAATCGCACCGCCTCCCTTCAAATCCTGCCCCTGTCACTCAAGTGTCACCTGTCCCCGACTGGCCTCAAGTCTCCCCACTTATGAACACAAGGGTTGATGCGCTCACTAAATAATGTCCTGTCCACTTACTCCGCATAGGGCCTGGCCAGAAATACACGCTAGCCTTTGTCACGACGAGCCGCACGGCGGGAGAGGCCCACCCCCAGCAGATGCAAGGGCCCAGGCAGTCCCGAGCCACCCCGCGGGTGGGGGGGATGGGCGCGCACAGCCGGGGCTTGCACACCCTGCACGCATGTGTCACCGGCCAGCCTCGGCACGCGCCTCTCCCCCGCCCCGAAGGCAGAAGCGATGGCTCAGCAGCTCCGGGGCCCACTCCTGCCCCCCACCCCCGGCTCCCACCCCACTTACCATGCTGGCCGGGGGAGGGGCGGCTCAGGTGAGCTGGTTCGTGGGCTTCGGACACGTCCCGCTCGCACAGTTCAGGTCATGGTCCCGGCAGGCTCGGGAAGTCCCCGCCCGTGCAAACACAACCCCTTTCCCTCCCGGGCCCCCTCTATGAAGAAGAGCAAGGCCTCCCGGTCCGCCTCATCGGGGGTCCCCGGGACAATTCATCCAGACCCTCCCTTCCCTCCCCAAGGAAACTGAACAAGCAGGAAATGGGGCTCCGAGGGCACCAGCTCGGGGGCCCCCCGCCCGGGCCCGACCCCCGAGAGGGGGAGGCTACGGGCCCAGGCAGGGGCTCCCCGGAGCCGCGGACAGAGGCGGCGTCGGCGGGCCCGGCCCCGAGGCTAAAGGGGCGGAGGCTGAATTGGGCCTCGGCGGCGCGGCACGGCCCGGACGGCCGGCTCAGGGAAGAGGCCCACAGGCCCGCGCTGTCCTCACCGCTTCAGCCCACACGGCCGCTACCGCCACCCCCCAGAGCATCCCTGCGCGCTCCCGCCCCAGAGCCGCCCGCTCGCGCCGCGCGGCCGCCCCCGACCAACAGCCCCAGCGCGCCGGAAGTGGCGAGCTCCGGGCGGCCCCACAGCACCGCCGCCGGGCTGCGGCGCTGGAACCGGACCAATCCGGAATCGACGAGGGGCCGGGCAGGGGGCGGGGCCGCACCTGACGGCTCCCACTGGCCCCGCCTCCTGTGGCTCCGCCCCCTACGCCCGCGGTGCGGGCCTGGCGGCCATCTTGGTAAAGGGAGCCAAGGGCGGCCATCTTAGTAAAGGGGCGGTTTCTCTTTCGCTTCGCTTGCTCATTCATTCTGCAAATCTTTATGGAGCGCCCCTTGTGGGTTGAGCACCGGGGTCACAGCTTGGCGGTGCACAGCCTCTGCGCCGCTGGAGCCTCAGTTCATTTAGTCCACTTACAATCCAGCTATGCCGTGGCCCACAGGCCCAGCTGTTGGTGCTAAGACTAGAAATTGTCAAGGAGCATAATTACAGCCATTTATATTTCTACTCTGGGCTGTGGATTCCTAGTACAGAAGGTTTGTTGAAAACAATAGCCTTTTTAGAATGTTGTTAATGGGGCCGGTGCTGTGGTGTAACAGGTAAAGCCAGTCCTGCAGTGCTGGCATCCCATATGGGCACGGGTTCAAGACCCGGCTGCTCCACCTCCGATCCGGCCCTCTGCTGTGGCCTGGGAAAGCAGTGGAAAATGACCCAAGTGCTTGGGCCCCTGCACCCGCATGGGAGACCTGGAAGAAGCTCGTGGCTCTTGGCTTCAGATTGGCTCAGCTCTAGCCATTGAGGCTATTTGGGGAGTAAACCAGCAGATGGAAGATCTCTCTCTCTCTCTCTCTGCCTCTCCTTCTCTCTCTGTGTAACTCTGACTTAAAAAAATAAATGAATAAAATGTTAACAAGAGGTAAACAAAACTTGGGCAGTCCCTTCTCTTTGTTAGCCCTATGAATAAATTAATTGTAGAAATGAGTGCTTTGAGTGTCACGAACAAAGCAAACACATAACGGGGGGAGGGCAGACAGAAAGTGGAAGGGAAGAGCTGAAGCCAGCTGAGACCTGCAGGCAGCGTGGGCACAGCCAGAGGAACAGCACCTGCCAAGGTTCTGAGAGGGCAAAGAATGCAGGATCTTAACCCCCACCTCCCCACCACCCTCTTCACCTGTGGAAGTGCCGAGTTTAGGAAATAGGAAGAAAACATCCCAAACAGCTGATGCCGAGCCTTGGGCTGTGCCTCCTGCAAACCTATATAACCCAATGGCTCTCAGAATCACCTGGAAGGCCAGTTAACACAGGTGGTAGGGGGCAGTAGGTATTTGGCATAGCTGCTGAGATCCTACCTGAGATGCCCACATCCCATATCTAAGTACCTCGGTTTGATTGCCTGTTCTGGCTTCCTGCTGACACATATCCTGGGAGAAGGCAGGTGATGGCCAAGTATTTGGTCTGCCACCCCCATGGGAGACTAACTGTTGTGGGCATTTGGGAGTGAACCAGCAAATGGGAGCATGTTTATTTCTCTCTTTTTCTCTCTCTCCCCCTTTCTTTGTCTGCCATTCAAATAACTTAAAAATAAGTATTTTCTTTTTTTGACAGGCAGAGTGGACAGTGAGAGAGAGAGAGAGGTCTTCCTTTGCCTTTGGTTCACCCTCCAATGGTCACCGTGGCCGGCGCGCTGCGGCCGGCGCACCGCGCTGATCCGATGGCAAGGAGCCAGGTGCTTCTCCTGGTCTCCCATGGGGTGCAGGGCCCAAGCACTTGGGCCATCCTCCACTGCACTCCCTGGCCACAGCAGAGAGCTGGCCTGGAAGAGGGGCAACTGTGGGGAGCAATCCGGACTAGACTGAGTTACTGGAATTAAGACTTATTCTATGCATCTGCTCTCCCACAATATGGCGCTGGGAGAGAAGTAAACAGCTTCTGCACAGCTGCCTCCAGTTCAACCAATAAACTGTAGGACTTGCTCCTGATTGGAGGAGAGCAGCGTACTCGGCGTGTGGGCAGCCGAGTTGGGATTGGCAGAGGAGGACTGTAAAGGAGGAGAGAGCCGGCATGCGCCAGGAACATTTAAGGGAACACCTGTGCAGCCCCCAGAGAGCCGGCCGGCGGTGTGCCGCTCCCCTGCGGAAGTGGGGAATGTGGCCAGGGGGAACTGCCCTTCCACGGAGGTGGAAGGGACAGTAGCCAACCCGGGAAGAACCAGCAGCAAACCCGGGGAGGGCCGAGCAGACGAAAGAACAGCGCAGGGTCCTGTGTCGTTCCTCCACGAAGAGGGGGAGCGACAGGCAACCAGGACAGAATCCGGCGCCCAACCAGGACTAGAACCCGGTGTGCCAGCACCGCAAGGTGGAGGATTAGCCTATTGAGCCGCGGCACCGGCTAAGTATTTTCTTTAAGACATTCATTCGGTGTGTCTGGGATGGGGGCTAGTAGTCCACATTGCTAACCAGTTCCCAGGTCATGCTGATGCTACAGGTCCAGAGACCTCATTTGGAGAACCACTGATACTACTCACGTCAAAGGACAAAATGACAGTGAGTTTCATTTAAACAGCTCAGTTGGCTTTTATTGCAAGAACAGAATCTAGCAACATCTCATCCCATAAAACTGGGGGGAGAGGGGAGGTTCTGATGAGCAGGGCACAGGAGATTGGTTTTATAGGCAAAGATTGAAGAAAACAGAAACAGAAAACAAAAAGTGGATTGGTCCTTTCAAAGTTCTTTTTTCTGTAAAGATGAAAGCAGAGGGGACTTCCTTATCATGCAAACTAATTCTGGTTTGTTTGGGGATTTGGCTGTTATCTCTCTCCTGATTTCTCCAAAGATCAGATAACCTAGTTTCAGCTTTAATGACGTGGAACCTTATCATGAGTGACTCCATTTTGCTTTGGTCTGTTGGGCCTCAGGTAGGAGCTCAATCCAAACCAGCGGCCTCCCACAGATTTTATTTAACATTCATCACTACAGAAAGTGACAGCTTTCATTGATTCTTTTTTAAAATATGTAATTATTTGTATTTTGAATGACAGGGTTATAGAGACAGAGAGGGAAAGAGAGATCTTGCAGCCACTAGTTCACTCCTCAAATGGCTACAATAGCCAGGGCTGGTCCAGGAAGAAGCCGAGAGCCATGAGCTTCATCTTGGTCTCCCACATGGGCAGCAGGGACCCAAGCACTTGGGCCATCTTCTGCTGCTTTCCCAGGAACATTAACAGAGAGCTGAATCAAAAGCCAGGACTTGAACTGTCTCCCTCTCTCTGTCTGTAACTCTACCTCTCAAATAAATAAATAAAATCTTTTTAAAAAAAGATTAACTGTGAATACACATAAAACATCTAGCAGGAAAGACGTGTAATACATCCCAGCCATTATTATTTTCACCCCAAGGTAAAATGTTCATATGGGATTCTGGCATTGCAGGCTGAGACTTAACCCAGTGTTCCACAACACCAGCCCCTTCATTTATTTGACCAAATGTTTATTGTTGCCCACAAAGTGACAACCACTGTTCCAAGGATTCTGTGCTGAGCAAAACAGACATACATACACCCTTATGGAATTCAGAGACAAATTATTTACAACCATGATATAATACCTAATTAGTTATAACAGTTCTAAGAGCAATGAAAGGTAACTACAGACTACCATGAGAGAATGCTAACGTAGTTATGTGTTAACACAGCCAAGTGATCTAAGCCAATTTAGGGTTGAAATGGGGAGGAGGTCAGAAAGTAACAATTATTTCAGCAGGACCTGAAACAAGTCAGAATTCATTAGGTAAAGGGAGCGGGCATAGAACATTCTAGGCAGTAGAAAAGGCATGTAGCAGAGAAGCCATCTCAGTGAACACATGAATCAGAACAAAGTCCAAGTCACTAGTCCTTTCTTGGCTCAGTGAAGTAGGATTGGCGAAAGCATTAGGTTGAAATATGTCTGAAGCGGAATTCACGTCTCAAATTCACAACTTGGGGAGCGGGACAATTAGCTTAGTGCTGAAGATGCCAGTTCAGACATCATGTCCAACATCAGAGTACCTGGGTTCTCCGGCACCTGACTCTAGCTGCCAATGTAGACCCTGGGGAGCAGCAGGTAATGTAGTTAGGTTCCTGCCACCTACAGGGGACAACTGGATTGTGTTCCCAGCCCCAGCCCCAGCCCCAGCCCCAGATGTTGCGGACATTTGAGGAGTGAACTAATAGATAGGAGAGTGCTTTTGCTCTCTCTCCTCAAATGAACAAATAAATAAAGTCGTAAATACTCACAGGATGGGCATTGTGGCATAGCAGATTAAGTCGCCACTTGGGATACCCATATCCTATATCCTATATCCTATATCCTATATCCTATATCAGAGTGCCCATATCCTATATAAGAGTGCACCTCCAATTCTGGTTCAGCTTCCTACCAATGTACACCCAGAGAGGCAGCAGATGATGGTTCAAGTACTCACGCCCCCTGCCACCCACATGGGAGACCCAGATGGAGTTCCTGACTCGTAATTTCAGCCTGGGCCAGCCTGGGCTGTTGCAGGCATTTGAGATTTGGAGAGTGATTTTCTCTTTCTCCCTCTCCCTCTCCCTCTCCCTCTCCCTCTCCCTCTCCCTCTCATAA